CATGGGAGGCCACATGCCCTCTGGCGGGGTGGAAGGGGTACTTACCCCAGAATCCTGCAACGACTATGCCAATTGTCGGGTCCAAGTTCCTCAGCCAGGAACTTGACCCCTTTGGATGCCAAGAATTAGGACACACGAGTAGCCATAGGTAGGTAGGACATACTTTATTACGAACAAAGCAGCCAACATCTGACCAGTGGCACCTTATATACAGACTCAAACAAAAGAGGCCTCGTACCAATTAGTGACATCTATACCACATTAACATTAGTAGGTTATAGAAGGTTGCGCTTATGCAGGACGTGTAGTACTTCTACTAAGTCATTGCACTCCCGCATGTGTAGGACAAAGGGGCCTTTAACATAGTAATACTGCTGTGTCATTACCTACGCACATACATATAGCGAGTAAGGCCTTTAACCTCCGGCATACTCTAGTCAGGGCCCCCACAGAGGCTACTGCAGAAAGAGGTGAGAGCCTGTGGCCTTTAGCGACTGGGGCCAAGGGGTGATGGTGGAGGCTAAGGCTGACAAAAGGGCCAGTGAGCCATGGCTTCCTTGTGGAGAAGCTCATGGAAACAAACCGGCAACTAGGTCTGAAAGGGAAGATGTCCTTGGGCTTTCTGTAGAGGTCACCGCCTGCCCAAGCCCCCATTTGGAGGACATTCAGCAAAGCAATCTGTCTCCTGGAGACAGGGGACCATGACTGAAACCTGACTCCTGTCCAGGGCCCAGCTGCTCAGGGGAACTGGCCTGGTATGACTGCCAGCTCGCCCAGGTGTCACCAAGGGCAACCTGGGAACCCAGTGGTAACCTGGTCTGCGTATGGAGGGCCCTCGGAAAAGGGCTCCTTCTGGAATGCCAGGCCCTTCCAGAGCAGGCTGTCTCCTAGCTCAGAGGAGGAAGAGCCATGCTGGCCCCACAGGCTACTGAGCAGAATGCTAAGGAGGCCCCAGCATTCCCACCATCCCCTGGTTACTCGGTCAAACACTAACAGAGGTCCTGCTCTGAAGGGACTTTGCAGATGGGATTACGATTACTAATCGGCTGACCTTAAAATAGACTATCCTGGATTATCTGGCTGGGCCCAATGTAATCCCATGAGCCCTTACAAACAGGAAAGGCAGAAGAGAGCAGCAGAAGGTTCAAAAGCAGGAGGGCTTGACCCACTGCTGGGGCTCTAAGTGGCCAGGAACTGTGGATGGCTGAGACCAACCCTCAGCTGACAGCAAGGGAACGGGAAGCTCGGACCTACCACTCCGCGGAACTGAATTCTGCCAAGAAACTAAATGAACCCGGGAGCAGACTCCCACCAGCGCCTCCAGAGCAGCCTGCCGACACCCCCATTCCTGTGAGGCTCAAGCAGAGAACCAGCTGGGCCGCTGTGCTCAGACTCTCTCACTTACACAAACTGCAAGATAGTAAGTGGGCATTGCTTGGTGGCAATTTGTTACAGTGGTAATTGGAAACTAATAACTAATTCATGAGGTCTCTGCAGACAGATTACCCTGGCCAAGGAGTGCACGACACGGGCCTGGCCGGGACGCTGGCAGTGCACTCGTTGGCCAGAGGACTCGGACTGGCTGCTGGTTCCACACTGCTCGGAGGGAGGGAGCGAGGGAACCCCCGGATCTGGAATCTGGGGCAGGAGCATCGCAGTCATGAGTTAGGGTCAAATTCATTCACACATGCCCTCCAGCAACATTTCTCAAGCACTTGCTATAAGAAGCACTGGTTGGGTGTCTAGAACTCATGGGGAGAAAGATAGAAAAAACAGACTCAAACCAGTGAGATGAGTCCCATGACAGAAAAAAGTCCTGATCTTGTGGGAGGTCAGAGAAGGGTCACCAGTCCACCAGATGGGTTTCCAGGGCCTGTGGCCGTCTTGGGTCTTGGTGGTCCAGGAAGGGGAGAGGCTATGTGGACGTGGGGCACTCTGAGCAGAGGGGCACTCTGAGTAGAGAGCAGCAGAGCATGAACGTGGAGACCGTGCCTGGAACATTCAGGGGGAGGTTAGCAGACTCACAGGAAAGGGACTTAGCCCGCAGGTGGGCAAGGGCCAGCTCAGCAGGGCCTCCCAGGAGCTGGGACTGAGGATGTTGAGCAATGGGGACACATCTTAGGAGCCCATGTACACAGCGCAGACCTGTGCTGGTGGGCTGGAGCACCCACACCCCACAGCCACCTGCACTGGCTTGTATACCAGCCTCACAGCGGCTGTGTCGTCAGCACCTGGCACATAGCAGACAGTCCATGTGAACTTTAAAAGTAAGTATAGCCCAGCCGGCGTGGCTCAGTGGTTGAGCATCAACCTATGGGCCAGGAGGTCACAGGTTTGATTCCCAGTCAGGGCACATGCCCGGATTGCAGGCTTGATCCCCAGTGTGGGGTGTGCAGGAGGCAGCTAATTAATGATTCTCATCGTTGATGTTTCTCTCTCTCGCACTCTCCCTCTCCCTTCTTCTCTGAAATCAACAAAAAGCATATTTAAAATAAAAGTAAATATAAAAACAAAGGTAGGTTCCTAAGAGACTGACCACACCAGGCAACACAGCAAAGAAGTGTTCAGTGTACAGAACTGGGTCCAAGCCTGTGGGCACAGGAGAGCCAGCGGAAGGGCAAGCAGACAGCCCCTCTGCCTCCGCAGGCTCTGACCTCCCTCTGGAGTAGGGCAGCAGGGGCCACCTCACAACCCCCTGCCTGGATGAGAACCATGCACTTGTCTTAAATGAGCTCGAGATGAGAAAACACTCCAAACTCGCGTCTTCGCCATGAAGCTGGCAGCAGAAGCCTGAGGTCATCTGGCTACAGAGAGGAGACGGGAGATTTCTGACCGTCCCCACAGGGTCCAGAGGGCGGGCTCCAGCAACCTTCCCGAGGGGCTGCTGGCAGGAGCCCTCCCCCCTCAGGCTTCTCTCCCCAGTGTGGTCATATGAATAGTTCCCTTTTCTGTAAACACAAACTGCTTTCTATGCATTGATTTATCTAATCCTCAAACCAATCCGACATGCTTTTATTAGCCCTTTTTATAGTTGGACTGTACAGGAGTTTTACATTTCACTTTTTTTTTTTAGCTGACAAATCCCTATTATGCAAGGAAATAGTAAAAGAAAAATCCATATGCAAAGCAGAGTAGAGCAACTCTAGATGGAAGGGGCTGAGGGGGAGACTAGAGCCCCACTTGGCTAACATTCTCCCCACAACGACTCCCAAGAGGTTCTTCTGAAACAGGGCCCTGAAGACACATCTGTGATATCTGACCCCCGAGGACTGGCAGGGCTCTCTCCGCCGGATTCCCCCCATCCCCACCCCCAGGGCTAAGGTGGAAGCAGGAGACGTTGTGGGAGGTCTGAGGGCTGGGCCTGTCCACCCCATACCACGCTTCCGAACATCCCGCAGATGCCAGCCAGGGGAAGCCAGCTCTTAGGTCTGGACCCAGGCCCACACTTGTGATATCTGACCCCCGAGGACTGGCAGGGCTCTCTCCGCCGGATTCCCCCCATCCCCACCCCCAGGGCTAAGGTGGAAGCAGGAGACGTTGTGGGAGGTCTGAGGGCTGGGCCTGTCCACCCCATACCACGCTTCCGAACATCCCGCAGATGCCAGCCAGGGGAAGCCAGCTCTTAGGTCTGGACCCAGGCCCAACCTTCTCTCTCTCTCGGGAAGCCCTCCCTGTTCCCCCCTGGAGACCCTGCCACCAGATGCGTCCTGCTTCCTCTGATGGCCGCCCCCTCAGAGCCCACTGCTGAGAGCTGGCATTCCATACCCTGCCGGGGATGGGCTGCACAGGTGGGTGGCGGCTGACAGGCAGGAAGGACGAGCAACCAGGGCTCCCGTGAGCAGGGGAAGAGTGGGGAAGAGGAGGAGTCCTCCAGGGTCCCGGGCTGGCCAGAGAGGGCGTCTCCACATCACAGACCTTAGAGGCCACTCGGGCCGCCCAGGAAACTGAGGCCCAGGTTTTTCAGCTGGTTGAGTAGCAAGACCTGAACTAGAACCCAAATTTCTTGACCTCTGGTCCAGAGATTTCCCCAACCTTGTTCTGTGAGAATGAGACTGGGGCAAGGCCAAAAAAGTCAAAATGAGGATTAGGGGCATAAAGGCAAGAGCTCTGAACGAGTCCTGCCTGCTGGGTGACCTAAGGCAGGAAGCACCTGCTCTCCTGGGGGCAATGCAGGGCCTGCACCCTCCCCAGCACCCGCCTTCCGCGTCTGGGTGCCAAGGGGCAGGGAGCAGCACCGCTGC